AACCATAAAAGATACAGCTGTCATAAACCCCAGAGAAAGGCTGCAGGGCTAGAAACTGAATGCGCAAGCAACTATGTTAAAATGTTTTCATATAAGGTCATTACATTTTGGCCACAATACATTAAATACAGTCAGTTGTAGCCTAGGCCTATATTTTTATTTATTTGATTTAAGTTGCATTTTCTGAATACTTTTATTTTTGGACTGATAATAAAGTCAGATAATTGTTGATATCATTGTGTTCCTATTGGTCAGAGTTAGAGGAGCTCAGCTTAACCTGCTCCTGACCAGGCTAGTTTCCCAGCATACCACAGTGACTGAGCTTGAGCTATGGTAATTTTGCTATCTGAAACCAAATCAAGTGACAGTAAGTCAGTCTAACTGAAATAAGCCTGGCTTATTTGGTAAACTAGTTTTATGAAACAGCCCCTGATCAATCACCTGAACAGCTAATCAGGGTCTTAGGCATACTGAAAACGTCCAGGCAGGTGTGTTGAGGCAAGTTGGAGCTAAACTCTGCAGGACAGTGGCCCTCCAGGACAGAGTTTGGACCCTTGGTTTAGACTATATGTTTTTACAAGTTTAATGAACTATAAACAATTATTGCACAGTCTTACAACAGTCTTTAAGACAGTAACAGTCTAGAGGCGATAGGCAATGAAGGGCACATGTCTTGGTGGAAGAGTGGAGTAACATCACAGCAAGAACAGTGTTGTAATCTTTTAAGTGAAAACAAATATTTACCTATGTTCAGGGCCGCATTAAGACCTCACTGGGCCCCGGGGCTATGACTTACTGCAGGCCCCCATCACAATAATGATATATATAGCTTAAAATAGGATTTTTTTATCCAATCAAAATTTTTGATGCATTGCAGTTTCAATTCCAATATCACAAAATAAAAAATAAGTAAAAACAAACTTACTGAAGACAAGTAAACAGTCATGAATTACAATAGAACAAAGAAATTGACCTACAAAGACTTAAAGCACTGAATAAGAAATATTATATTGTATAAAATAAATAGTATACAAATAGACTGAATAGTCTTCACATGATAAATTCAATATACATTATTTTACAAAAGCGATTCGGTCAAGAACAGTGAGTGATTTTCTTTCTGTTTAATTTACATTATTGACCCAAACAGCAACAGTAGCTATATTAGGCTGCTTTGGAGGAATAGTTCACCCAAAAATTAAAGTTGTTAGTTGTTGTTCTAAACCTGAATGAGTTTGAATGAGACTCCTTCTGCTGTTGAATGCAAATGTATATATTTGTAACAATACTGGTAACCAAACAGTGTCTGTGCCCCTATGACTTCCACAGTATGGAGAAAAAACACTATTGGAGTCAACAGGGACCAGAAACTTTCTGGTGGTTACGAATATTCTTCAAAATATCTTCTTTTATGTTGAGAACAAAGAAATTCATACAGATTCAGAACAACTTGAAACTGAGTTAATGATGACATTTTTTTAAAATTTTTGGGTGAATTATATCCCTTTAAAATCTCTATCTCAACCCTAATCAAACACACCTTAACAAGCTAATCAAGGTCTGAAGGGTTACTAGGAAGCTACAGGTAGGTGAGTTTTAATTAGGGTTGGAGCTGAAGCTCTCCAGGACCGACGTTCGCCACCCCAGATATAGGGCCTAATGCCAGGATCTCATAATAGCCAACTAGTGCACATGCTTTAACTATTAACATTCATTTAAGACACAAATGACTGTGTTGACGAGGAGATAGGCATTTGACAGATAACTGTGTATTCGAATGTTTAAGCACAAGTGGCGAATAATAACTCTTAGTTTAGTCAGGTGCTGTACGAGCAAGTGCGCTCCGCATGTATCAGAAACCGTCTTAACGCGCACATTTGCCAAAATGAATTCTGCTCCACTGCTTAATGTTACTGTGAACAGTTAAATGAAAAGCTTACATCAAGATGCACAAAATTAATTTCTCAGCCCATAAGAGAATATTCTAGACCTATAGAGTTTGTTCAAACACAAAAAGCAACATCTATGAAGTTAATAATCAAACTAACCTAAAATCTGTGGGGATGATGTGTTTTTATCTGCTCATGTGTCCGGTCCATTTGCGGTTCCACAACTCTGTCTCCATCATCAGCTTTAGTAAAATAAACTAGCTGTGTGTGTTTTAGTGACTAACTCATGTTTTCCCCTCTCTCCTAATTTTTTCTATCACTATTTTATTTTTAATTTTTTTTTAGAATAGTTGACATTTTTACTTATCGAAGATTGTTCTTTGCATGACCGTTTCTTAGGTGCAGCGATCACCTGATAGATAGGCTGCGTGCACGGTTTGTTCAAAAGTAAAATATATAATAAATGCATTTGATTGGTAAAACAAATTCAAATGTGACATTTTAATTTCTGATGGTAATGCATGGAATTTACAAAAAAACTCCACTAAATAATAACGCTAAAAAGTGAGGGGTGAGGTGGGGCTTTGGCGATCAGTGCTACCGACGTACGTCAATCTACTCCACAGCCAATCACAGGCCCCCTCCTTGCTCGGGCCCCGGGGGGTTCAGCCCCGCCTAAGAGGCGGGAATCTTCTCCGGCCTTAAAGGCCCACACCAGGGACTATGTATGCAGTTTATGCAGTTAATAAAACCTTACTTGTATCACACTTGACGTGGTTAATTGTTTTCTCATAACTGGAGTCACTTAATCATGCAGATTTATGCTACAAGCTTTTGTATAATTGTACAATAAGGAAGTTATTTCCCTTAACCAGGAAATTAACGTTCTTAGAATTGACAAGACAGTTGACCCTGAGAGGTCAGCTAAATATCTACAGCGGATCTAAAATATTCATAATTAATTATTTATAATTGTTCATATTAATTATTCATATTTCCCATGAGCTGATTCGTTACAGAGGTGAGTAAGCCACACAATTGATGCAAGTCTTGCCTGAGGAGTTGATCGGCAGGAGCGAGACATACGCTGTATTTGGTTGGGGTGAGTGCTGAAATGTATATCCACCGGCTGCAGAGAGTGTGATGAACTGCTGAAGAAACTCACACGATTGCATTCCATTGTGTTTGGCTACTCCGGAGAAAACGCTGCCTTCCACGGAACTTTTCCCTGCCATTCACGGTCAGCGGTATTTACACGCATGCACTCACACACAAACACACCAAAGCACCTAATCGCACGCATTTCCCCAACCACACATTCGCGATTCGCTCCAAGTGAACGACTCGTATTAATGACCTTCATTTTATTTCCCTTTCAGTTTAAATATGACTTCTGTTGGTTGAGAGTATAGAATTAACTAACCCTGTTTCTAGAACTGTTGACTATCAGTTTGTTGCTGCCAGAGGCTCTAGCTAAACTTTGTGCTCTGTGTTTACGGCAAGATACTCAGCCTACTGCTTAAGCAGTTACTCTTGATTGATTGTTACCCTTTTGGAAGCTGTAGGAGAAAAACAAAGCCTCACTTTCTGTCCAATCACGTGCGCGTGTCAGAGTGTACGAACCCCCAGATCTTACTTTTATGAGTAAGTTTTCATTCAGACTAATTCAATAACATTTTAAATACCCAGTCATACAAGTAATATTAAGAACAAAAATTATTTTAGAAAAAATTTAATGTTTGACATATGCAATTAATATATGTACACATTATTCTTCTATTACATCATATTGATATTCATATTGGCATTTAATGCCACAGTTTAAATTATTTTATTAGAGAGAAAAAATTCGACAAACACACACACACACACACGCAGAGTTAGGGATTTTTGTGGTCGCTGCTTCGTCCTACGGAGCGTCTTTCACAGGCTTTTGGATGCTATATTTTTTATTAACCACCATTGAATCTTTTCCTGAAACAGTCAGAGGAAAGCCTCAGTGCTTCATGAGGCTTCATTTGCCTATCACTACATGGGCATTTATATCTGTGCTGTGGTGCATCATGGGAAATGGGAGAAACCAAACTAGAGGATGTGTACTTTATTCTTGTAATTATTTACCTTGCTTGTATAGTTATGATTTTAACGGTACTGAAACATCTAATCCAAGGGTGGCCAACGTTTAGTCCTTGAGAGCCAAAGTCCTGCAGAGTTCAAATCCAACCCTAATCAAACACACCTGAACCAGCTAATCAAGGTATGAGGGTGTCTAGAAACCTTCAGGTGAGTTTTTGTCTGCATGTACAGTTTAAATGTGTGTGTGACCTGGATGTTAAGAGCTGCATCAAGAGAAACCGCCTCAGAGGCGAGTATTCTGTGTGTATTGTGAATGTATATTTCCATTAATGTTTTTTTTTTTATTTTTTTTTTATTTTTTCTTTTCAGGTAAGACTCAATGCTGGCACGTTCTGAAGGAACTTCATTCTTATTTTGTTCAGAAACAATCTGTGAGCTTGATTAATATTTCATTGCAATTTCAAATGCTTTGTTGTTGCTGGAAATGGTTGAGTAACATTCAGAAATTCACCCACATAAATCTTGAGTAGGTTTATTTGTATATTAATTTGGTTCTGAGCAGTGCTGAATCATAATGGTTTAAATTGTAGATGCAGACCAAACACAGTTGTTGCAAAGCATTGCTGTGCATGTGATTTTTAGTCTGAGTAAAGCACCGTTTTTGTTAAACCCTTGATAGTCAACATCCTCAATGTCATGGTGATTGTACAAACTGGAATGGATGTTAAAAATGTTTTGATGCAAACTGTTACAGCAGAAATTATGCAGAAATTGTCCTTTTTAAAAAAAAAAGTTATTTCAAATTGTCAAAAGTCCCAGAAGTGACTTTTACTTGGTCAACAGCTTACGATGGGGTGCCCTAAACTTAGTGACCGGAAAAGTTAGAGATTTGTCTAGCAATGTGCACATTAAAGAGTTTCAGGGTTCATTCATGGCTGCATTGATAACCGCTTGTTAATGTAAATTTACATTTTGTGACTGTTTGAGTTTTGAATTAATGCATTCTTTCCAAGCCTAACATTCAACACTTTCCTCTCAACCAAAATCAGTTCCATTAAAATTAGGATCCGTAGAGAAACTGGTTTGATATAGTTCTATTGTTTCAGTCTAAAGCAACTACCAATGTTAACTCAATGTTTTATCTGTAGTGTCTTCCTACAGGTAATCTGGACATTCTAAAGAGCTCACATGTTTCGTGTGTTATTTATTATTTTTTTTCTTTCTTCATCTCCACTACTTGATAAAAGCCCACTCGTTGTTGACTGACAATGCTACAGAATTCCACAGTCTTTTGATTTCATTTCATTATAAACGGCTCACTTCAGTTCACAGATGGTTCTGATTTCCACAAGCAGCTCAAAGTGTTCCTGTTACATGTCTAAAAATATCAGTTACAAATGCAGCTTTTAATTGTTTTTGTTTCAGTGAGTTCCTGACTGTTAAAAGTGGATTCTCCTGGAAAATCAACAGCTGCTGAGGTGAGTAGTCCTGTGATTCTTAATATTCACAACACTGTGTATATTGCTCTCTTTACTGGGTCAAACCATGTTCCCCAGAAAGTTTTGTGGTGGAGAATGACCCTTTATTGCAGTCAATGCTAGGTAGTGGTAAAATCCGGCACCTACAGGTACAAATCCATTGCTACTGTGCTCAGATATCAGATAGATGGGGCTCCCCAAACATGGAGACCGGAGACTAGCAGTCAGCACTAAAGCACTATTTTATTCAGCTTTCTGTAGGTTTGTGATTAGAGTGGATCTAGACTACAGGAACCAGATGAGTCCTCCACACAATCTAATGGTGCTTTTCCGTTGCATGGTACGGCTCTGCTCGGTTTGCGTTTCCACTGCAGTTTAGTATTGCTTTGGAGTGGGCGGGATTATTCGCCTGTTGTTAGTTGAGCTGCCTCTACTGTCGTGACTCCTGGAAAAATGTTTCATTCTGCATCGCCCCATCAAGCTCTTGCTGGATCCGCTCCTCTGCTATCAGCGAGAGGAACGTCGATACTTCCTCAAGACCACGAAACAGACACTTTTTGGTTGTTAAAAAAGGTGTAAAAATCTTTCATTCCGCATCGCCCCATCAAGCTCTCGCTGGATCCGCTCCTCTGCTATCAGCGAGAGGAACGTCTGTACTTCCTCAAGAGACCACGAAATAGCCACTTTTTGGTTGTTAAAGATGTGCTTCCTTCGCTGGCTGTGCTGATTTAAATCTAGTGGTTAAGTTGTGCCGGTGTCGTACAATAAGCCTAACCCTAACATTTAGTGACCAGCCAATAAAACTGCAACATGAAATCAACAAAACTGCTTACCTCAAGCTTTTTCCTTCCTCTTTCACCACTTCCACATCAAGCACACACAAACTACAACTATTAAAGTGTGGTTCATCATGCTCTTTTTGTTTACCACTAGCACATGCTGATGATGTTTTATTCTTATATAGTAACATGTCGTAGCGTACGAGTCAATGGGTGTCATCATCGTACAGTCTACATGCATGTCGTACCCAAGTTTATTAGATTCATGTCACACAGTGTGATCCGCAATGGTCTTATAGGATTGTTAAAATCGTACAGAGTGTAGAATGCTTTAGTATAGATCAGGGGTGGCGAACGTCAGTCCTGGAGAGCCGCAGCCCTGCAGAGTTTTGCTTCAACCCTAATCAAACACACCTGAACAAGCTAATCAAGGTCTGAAGGGTGACAAGAAAGCTACAGGCAGGTGAGTTTTAATTAGGGTTGGAGCTGTACTCTGCAGGGCTGTGGCTCTCCAGGACCGGAGTTCGCCACCGCTGGTATAGATAGTTTTGTTTGATCAAAGCTTGTGTCTCTGAGAAGCAAAACAGGGAGTTTTTAAAAAAATATATTTTTTTTTAAAATTTGATCACTTAACTATTTTTGGTAGTAATGCAGGAGCCTCCATCCTCATGTGCAGACCTGACTCATGAAGGTAGGCAAGTGCAATAAGGCACTTTCTGCAACCTTTTTATTAATTTTTTCAATTCTATACTTATGTATGGATTTTCTGTGGCCTCCACCCTTATAGTGGTTTGGCACCTCCATAGTCCCAGAGCTGAAGCTGCAGTCCGCTCCTCTTTGGCTGGACTGAGACCTTGATTCTACCAGAGGACATGACTTCACTTTCTTCCAGACCACACACTAAACAAGTATGTTTGCTTTCTGTAATATCTTGAAATATATTTTTCTGTTTAAACAACTTTTGTATTACAGATCCATTTTAACCTCACATGTAGTTTTCCTCCGGTTAGCTGGGATCTTTGAGTTGGATGTGTTATCCTTTACATGGAGTTCTTCGGTATTTACCTGAATAAGCCTCATGTCAGCAACTTTTCTTGCCTCATTTGCGCGTGGCCTTTGGAAATGTGGAGAATATTGGTTCAGTTTCTTGAGCCGTATTCAACCAGACACGGATGCACTTCTCACACCATGAACAGGTTTGCTTCTCTTAAATGCTTAGACATTTGCTCTCTATGCATCTCATTTGAGTTTGATTTGATTCACATTTAACCCTAATGTCTCATACTGTCTTCCAGCTGAGCTGGGTGGCTTCTTGGATGAGTTGGATGTGCTCCTGTCCAGTTTCTGAATGGCAATTCTTTGAGACTGATATAGGTGAGTCCTGCAGTTGTCTTTCTCCAAAATTAAACTCTATTAGGCTTGTTTGGTCTTTCAACTCCTGAAATATTGAGGTTTCTTCTGTAAATTTCGAACTGATCAAATTAGACTTTAATTTGTGTATATTATCTTTAATGGGTTTAGCCATGTTCTCCAGCAAAGCTGTTGTGGATTGTGTCCATCCTTCAATTCATCTTTATCAGCCAGTGTTAGGTTTACTGTTTAATGTGGAGCAGAACCGACAGACAGGTGCAGATACAAAACCACAAGCTTAAATGT